TGTATCTGATTTAGAATGAGCAGAAATCTGGGAGAAATATAATGACCCAAAGACAAAAGATCTGATAAAAAAGCTGTTATAGGAGCAACAGCCATGTGGGCAGTGCTGTGTCATATGCCATAGCTGTGCACAAAGTGTTTATCACAACTCCAGACTTATTTGTTCATTAATGACGTCATCAGCGACTAGTCGACTTCGACTCGACTTTCATCACATAAAAGTCGACTTAAAAAAATCAGAAGTCATTCAACCCCTACTACATAGTGGGCTCGCAAACCTCTCATTCGGCATGAATCGTTTCCATGAGTGAATCGTTACGCAGTCTAATATTTGGATGCTAAACTATTAGGCTACTTATGTAAAGAAGGCTTTGTACTTCTCTCATGTCCAAATATCTACTAACAGCATCCTTCACATGCAAAAAAGTGTTTGGAAAAACACCACGGCATGCTCACGCTGACCGGCAAAACCTACATATTGTACAACAGATATTTAGTTGTCTCATTTAGTTTGCTGATGGTGAGGCTGTGATGTCAAGTTGCAATGCTAGAACTGAAATGTTGTGCGCGCGGGAGGCGCTAGCGCGAACACTTCCTTATATCAGCGGAAAAATGTGATATCTGTCAGATAAAAGCAAGACATCATTCAAAAACGGTCTATTTTTATTTGTGTACCTTCAAAATGACAGTGAAACGTTGTGTTATTGTAAAATAAAGAAAACAAACAAAATGTGCTTGCCGTCTTGGTCTATGTGAACTAGGGATGTCAATTTTCGATCATTTCCATGATCGATAATCGTTTAAATTAACGATCAATTAATCGTTAACCTTAATGCTGCAAAATGCGTCTATGCAGCCCCCGGCATGACAGGATGTGCAAAAGTTACTCAAAAAAAAAAACCCCGCTTTCTCACCCGATTTAAAGGGGATTTAGTCTGAATAAAATGCTAGTAGCAGGATTGTAAAATGAATAGATGTGATTATGATCATTTGATAAAATGAAGACAAGTTGCAATGCTAGAACTGATATGTTGTGTGCACGCGGGAGGCACCAGCGCGAACACTTTGGATTCCTTATATAAGCGAAAAATGTGATATCCGTCAGATAAGAGCAAGACATCATTCAAAACGGTCTATTTTTATTTGTGTACCTTCAAAATAACTGAAACGTCATACTTTTTGTAAAATAAAGAAAACAAACAAAATGCGCTTGCAGTCTCAGTTTCCATGAACCTCTTCCTCAAATGTAGAAAAACACAGCAGTACTTGTCACACAGACATGAGAAATATATTTATTAAAACTTTAAGTACCCGCTTTTATTGTTTATGTTTTGCTTAGTCTTGATGGGACCCCTTCAAAGTAACTTTGGAATAATTCAGCACATCTCAGAAGATTTCAAAATGACAGTGAAACGTTGTGTTATTGTAAAATAAAGAAAACAAACAAAATGTGCTTGCCGTCTTGGTCTATGTGAACTAGGGATGTCAATTTTCGATCATTTCCATGATCGATAATCGTTTAAATTAACGATCAATTAATCGTTAACCTTAATGCTGCAAAATGCGTCTATGCAGCCCCCGGCATGACAGGATGTGCAAAAGTTACTCAAAAAAAAAAACCCCGCTTTCTCACCCGATTTAAAGGGGATTTAGTCTGAATAAAATGCTAGTAGCAGGATTGTAAAATGAATAGATGTGATTATGATCATTTGATAATGGCACGTGTGGCTGTGCTGCGCAGTCAGTGAACCGCTTCCATCGGCGCTGCTGCAGCAAAACACACTGTTGCTAACATGAAACATTATCATGTGAATATTATGACCAGTACCTTATTTGATCCTGCTGGATCCTGTTCCGGAAAATGTCAGATTTAAAAATATTTGTGTTCCGGTAGGTCTATTTGTTTTAAAAATCCGGCATTTACAGTGCATTAGATCGTGACAGTGCATGCGTGCGTGCATACGAGACGGAGCGAGCGCGGGTTTGGACAGATGTATTTGGAGCTTATTGCTCACGTCTCATTCGGCACAAATCCAAATGTTTCCATATTCGCAATGTATTTGAATGTTAAACTATTATTTAT